ACTTCGCTTGTGGAATGTCTTTGCTAACACCTCTCTGACCCCCCCGCCCCCCTTCCACGCTGGAGATACGAGAATCCTCCAGCCCCTCAGGTCAGGCATTCATAATTCATGCATCGGCGTCGTAGATGTAATCACATTTGTGCTTTTCCTCGGAGAACATCCGACCCCGGCACTCACACTGTCAGGATCATCAAATCCTCGGATGGAAAACAAATATCACATCGGACAGGATCTTGACAGCGATCACAGATCATCTTCTCGAAGCTGTGAGCTTTGTGATTGTTCAAATTCGGGGGCTCGGGTTTCACCGGGAGCATGGAGGGAGGCAGAGGATCTAATTGCTGACATTGAGCTTCAGCAAAGATGGAATATATATATATATATATATATATATATATAGTAGAGTATTTTATTTTTTTTATCCTGCTTTGAGTTCCGATTATGACCTATGCTCTCTTCGCTCGCAATTTCTTCCAACAAAAACCTTCAGGAGAGAAAATAAAAAACAGGTGTACACAATATGTCTGACATGCAGATTTACACTTGTGGAAGCAACTCAAACATTCCTATAGTGAACCCCAACATCTGCTATATTTTCATTCCAATTCCTCCCGGTATCACAAACTATCCAGAAAAAAAAGAGAAAAAAGAAAGACCTCCTAAAACCTGAACACATTCTACATACTGATTTCTCAAGAGCTTCTGAAACTTAGGAGCATCTCTTTTCATATGATTTCCTGCCAATTACCAAAAAAAAAAAAAAAAACCTGACTGGGAAACGCTTCCAAGTTGAGAGAGAGAAAAAGAGAGAGCTAGAGCAGAAGAAGAAAAAAAATGAAAAGACACTGATTCAGCAGAGATGAACCGGCTGCTATGGTAACAAGCCACGGCCGCATTAATTGTGGCATCTCACAAGACAGAACTAAGACTCTCTCACCGAACAGAACGGTTGTTTTACCCCAAATTAGAATGTGTTAAGTATATGTTTGGATAAAGGCTGGAAAAGACACAATGGGGAAAAGAACCAAGTTAAGACTCAACAGACAGGCTGTTAGCATCCTGGTACATCTAGATGCTAACAGTGTTCAACTGCTGTATGTATTTTTTGCAACAGTTTTAATGCCAATCAAGACACACGTGTTCTCAAGGGTTCTATGAAAGCTCAACATTCAGACGCCGCAGGTCTTAAACGTTCTGCTTGATCTGGTCTGTTTAGCGTCCCGGCTGCCTTTTCTGAAGGTTACCTGGATGTTTTGTTCGATCGAGCGGCGGGTCAGAGGTTCTGGATTGATACATATAGATTGACAGTCAAACATTATGCTGATTGCCCATACAGCCGGGCCGATCAATGCGTGTAGAGAGCTTCTGATGCTCCTGCTCTTTCTGCCTCTGTCAATAGCCGGATTGACTTTGACTTGGCACTTAAACAGCCGGAAATTGCAAAACCATATAAATCTCTGTGGATTCTTATTCAGAAATACATTTGGCTGCTTGGTTTGAGAAACAAGAGGTTACTAAAGCATCTTTCGGGACCGTCTAGTTGAGCCATGATTAAATTTCATCCAGTCGTCATTTAGTTAGAAAGAAACTGGTTTTGTTACAACTACAAACTGCAAGGGCATCAAATTAATTTAAATTTTGGGCCATATCAAGATCATGACGGTTCTTAAAGGGCTGGTTGTGGCAGAATGTATTAAAAAAACACATTAGCAAGCTGTTAAAAACATTGATTAATAGCTGTGGGCACCTAATCTTAAAATTAAATAAGATGGCACAGCATTGCAAACTTTTCCAGAAGTCTCCAGGACTTTCGCGGTTATTTCAGAAATATTTGCTAAAACATCTGCAATATTTGACATTTATATGACGGTAAATGTGACTTTTTGTTTGATAACAAACTTTGACTTGACATCAAGTAAGGCTGTCATAGGAGTAACAAGTTACTGCCACCTGCAGGTGGGAGTTAGCCTCTCTCTACCCCCAATTTTTTTTTGGCCATTTCTTTTGTGGTAGATTTGCAATAAATCCAAATGTATGCACTAGCAGAAATAATTGCCGGCATCGGTTATTTTTGTGTAAATTTTCGTGATCACGAAAAATATGTGAAAGACATGATGGACTGCTTGGTGTTGTCAAGCTGTCCGTCCTGATTTATACATGCATTCGTAGCAAACGTAAAATATTCTTTAATCAGATGAAAGCAAATAACATTTGCACCCGTTGATAACTGCTTGCTATTCTAGTTTTCTGATGTAACCTGAACATATCGCTACCTTGCAACGTACAAATTCCATGGTTCAGGTTTGACGTAATTCTACCCAACTCTACTTGCATTGTTACCCTCTGGTCTGAATAAGCTAACTGTAATATTGCTATCGACATGCAGGGAGTCATTGTTGTGACTCGTGTTTGAGATAATTACAGAGCTCTGCGGAATCTCACGTTTCATAAAGTCCCGAGGGGCAGGGCAAATAAAACCCGACACTAAAAGCCGATCAATAGCATTCAATCAGGCGGCACCCAAGATTGCTTGCAATTTCCCGCTCTCATTCTGTCGGTCGCATCAGGTGGACGTATCTAAGCGGCCATTGTTGCAATCACCTGTGATGCTCCTGTGATATTTAGGTGGCTGAAATCAGTCCGTGAGCCAAATGGCGGCTCATTTGCAGTCATTCCCGCTTTTGTGATCAATCAGCCAGGTCCCCGTCTAGCGAATAAAGAAATGAAAATGTGATGCCAAAGTGACATGCCTGTTGTGGTTTGAGCATTCGGTGAAAATGTCGCTGTTAACAAGCTGTCAGATTCAAGAAATTTTGCATAAGAGATAAAGACGGACCGCTTTTGATTGAGAGAGACATCTCCAAAGAGCAAGGGGATTTGATTTTACCGAGATGGAAAAGTTTTCTTGGACCTTTCTCCAGATTTGAATAGGAAGGGGGATTCTTTTGACTCTTTCAGGTCATTTGACTCCAGACTTTGACTGATGTCCTCTGAAACATTTTTTTTTGTTGCTTTTGAACCCCTCAAGGTGGACTTGCTGGTGTGATCGATTATCGTCCTCCACATAACCAAAGTCCGTTTGAGCTCAAGGTCACAAACCAATGGCCAGACATTCTCCTTCAGGATTTTCTGTTAGGGAGCAGAATTCATGGTTAGATCAAGTACTATTAAAAGTAATATTAAGATTTTGCCTCTGGATATTATTGTAAGGTACTTTCTCTGCCAACCAAGCTAGCTTGAATGCCATCTATCCATTCCAGAGTGTTATTTTCTTCATCTGCCGTCCACATGTCTAACGGTTAACCCTTGCGAGAGTGAAAGTTGCACCATGAACCTTTCCGGTCGCACATCACGCTAATTCAATTCGACAGTATCTGCATCCCATCACCCTGCTGAGCTCCATGCAGTTATTCCTTTGGATGCATTCAGATACATAATCCAATTAGCTTTGACTCCAAGATAAGTGCCCCCTCCTCCTCCTTCATCCCCCCCCCCACCTCCTCTTCTTCATACAAATGTGATTTATCCTGTTTGGAGGATTATCTCGGAGTCTAAACGCTCGGCCTACAAGGACTGTAGCTAAGCTTATGTGGAGTCAGAATTGTTTTTTGTTAATTTTCTTTGGTGGGAACAAGATGCTGAAGCGTGACTAAGCGGCGTGTGTACTAGTGGGCCCCCCCACCTGCTGCATTGGAAAGCACGAATGCTGCAGCCGAAATGCGAAGCTAGCGGGAAGTGCTCCCTGGTAGCAAATCTGCAGACGAGTTGTCCTGGAGGACCTAGTCAAAGTCCAGACCAAAATGCAAACCAAAGTGAGACTGGGCTGAATTAATGTTTATAAATTTATATATTATCATGTTCAGTTTATAGAATTGTGATTTATCAACTTTAGCTGGTTTATTTCTGTGTAAATTCTAGGTAGCATTTAATTATATATGTCAGCAGTATTGAATTAGCAATAAATTCTGTCCAATGGGAACACATTGGTTTTAATTGCCATGGACTTAAAACACACACACACACACACACACACACACACACACACACACACACACACACACACATATATATAATTAAATTAGTAGTTTTTACTGAAAGTTTAAGTTCTTAAAATCTACTCAGTTATGTTAATTGTCATTTTGTTGCCAAATTCTTTTTTTATAGGCAACTGTCACTTTTCTGATCATCTCTAGAAAGACTTGAAATTTAATGTACACACATCCATCCATCCATCCATCCATCACAGACCCCTCTTACACCAAATCTGACTGAGCTCAAAGAAAACTTTCCAAAAGTAAAAATGGAATAATCTCCAGATGTTCAAGGCTCTTACAAACATCCTCCATTATTCAATAAAAAATAGTAACTAATGCCACTGACTGATTAAGAGGAGGTGACTAAACGCACACCACGCTTTCTAACACAGACTGGAAATCCCACTGAAACACACAGAAGTTTGTGGCCGTGACGTGACGAGACGTGAGAAGAGTTCAGCGGGTGTAGTGAGCGCTTGTGATAAGCGGCGTGGGTGGGCTTAGTGATTTTGCTTACAGGATCCCACCGACACGTCTGGCTCTTATTACGCGTCAGAGTCACACAGATCTGACTGAGCACTGCAGATGGACTGAGGGGGAAAGGGAGATGGGGTAACTATACTCCCCAGCTCTGACCCCCTCCCCCTAACTCCCTTTCTCCAGCTGATGTAATAATCTCAAACGGTGGAGTATAATGCGGATCCATAGAAGACGGGAACATGTTCTTCCCCCTCTCCGCCGCCCCTCCTTCCCATTTTATGTGCAGTTTTTGCAACAAGAAAAAAAAAAGAACAGAACTTTTTTTTTTTACTTATCTGGGAAAAACTAAAAAAAAAAAAAAAAAAAAAAAGAAGAAACGTCATGCACACATGCGCATACAGGGAGCCACACTGACGCATCTTTTGTTTTCTTTCTCTCTCACTTTCTCTCTCTCTCTCTCTCTCTCTCTCTCTCTCGCTCTCTCAGCTGGTCTGAGCCATGCCTATAGCGGACGGTTTGCTTTACCGCATTCAACAGTGTTTTCCCAATCGGAGCGGAGTTAGAGCCGTGGAAGTAAATGAAAAACTGCGACGAGGAGGGAGAAAGGGAGACTGGAAACAGTTTGGAGCGTTTATTTAAATTTTTTGGGGGGGGCTTTCTGAAACGGAAAACTCTGCAGCGCTTTGGACGATGCGGACTAAGACTGTTCTGGAGCTTCAGATGAGAAGATTTAAACATCAGAAGCTGTAAAAAGACTTTTTCCCACCCCCGTTCCCCTCCTTTTTTTTTTCTATTCCAGTGGATTGCTTTTCCCCCCCCTCGTCTTCCTTCCCTCCGTCAGGATTTTTGCCACCACAGATCAGTAGAGGGTGTCAGATCTTTCTCAGAGCGGCGCGCTGTAGGGATGAGTGCAGCCTTCGCTCTCGCCTTATTGTGACC